TTTCTTTCTTTCTTTCTTTCTTTCTTTCTTTCTTTCTTTCTTTCTTTCTTTCTTTCTTTCAGAAATAAAACCATGAAATTAAATTAGTTCTCCATGGCACACAAAACCATTTTGTAAACACATTCTACCATGTGCAGCAAGTGGAGTTGAAGGTGAAGATAAAGAAGTGAGAGCAGTAGTTATAACACATGTCCTCTATTGACACAGCATGTCTAGGCAAACATCAGTACTCAAAGAATTACACAACTACTAATACTGCTATAATACCATCAAAAATGATACAATATACCAAATATATTTCTTTATCTGAAGTAGCAGTCAGCAGTATTTGACCTTAATCTGAGAATATAAAGGTGTTTCTTTGAGAAAACAGGCTCTGCCAGAGTTTGTCAAGTAAAAAAAGTTAGATAAAAGCACAGCTTCTAATAGAAGGTTTTATCTTTATTTTCTTTTTTTCTTTTCTTTATCACAACAACACTATCCAGTACTCATGTATCATGAAACTGATTATGAATCCAAAATTGTACCTTTCTTCCTGAGGATTTGGAGAATAAGTTGGGAACACATGATCCTGTGCAAAAGGACTTAAAATAAAAATTTGAGGAGGGGTATGCTGTTTGAATCTTTTAAAGCTTCAGGTAAATTCCTGGGACCCTAGAAGGCAGTGTATATATGTGTGGCTGTGTTTATGCCCAGGAATGAACTAGAGCCTCCTGATATCATCTCTAGCTAACCTTGCAGGTTTGAATAAGGAAAATGTGAAGACTAAGGCAAAACAGTAAAGTTCAACAAAAGTGCCTACTATGTGCCACACGTAGAGACTATCTCATATTGGTGAAATTATTAAGGCCACTCCACGTAATTAAAAGGGAGATTTATTTAGTAGGCAACTTACAAATGAAGGAATAGGTAGGTCGCAGTCCAGTGGTGTTCTCTGGAGTCCCTTTTCCCTTAGCTTTCATTATTCTCAGGGTTATGCTCAGTCGGTAGAGCATGAGGCTCTTAATCTCAGGGTCATGGGTTCATGCCCCATATTGGACACCAGATATTGAGGGTGGACTGAGGACAGGTGGCAATGGGAAGGGATCAGGTGGAGTAGGGGAGCAGGTTGAGGGAGATCATGCTAGAAGAGACAAGTCAAATTGGGGGACGGGGGAGCATTTCAGATGCCATGTGAAAATCTAGTGCAGTGAAAATTGCTTGGAACCTACAAGAGTGGCCCTTGTGAAGAGTCCTAGTAATGGAGGATACAGAGACTGAACTTGACATCTTCTGTAACCAAGCAAGACTTCTAGTGATTGGACTGGGACACCAATCCAGCCACAAAGCCTTCCACCTTACAATTTGTCCTGCCTGCAAGATGTGCTGTGGTAAAGGAAGGATTGTACGAGTCAGAGGGGTTAAGCACACCAAGATTATATGGCCCACAGAATCAACTAAGCAGGGCTCATGGAGACTCAAGTGACAATCAGGGAACTTGCATGGGTCTAAGCTGGGTCCTCTACATATGTTATTGTTGAATAGTTTGGTGTTCTTATGGAACTACTAACAGTGGGAGTGGGGATGTCTCTGACTCTTTTGCCTGTTCTAGGGACACTTTTCCTCTTCCTGGGTTGCCTCATCCAGCATTGATATGAGGGTTTCTGCCTAGTCTTGTTGTAACTTGTTATGATGTGTTTGGTTGACATCCCTGGTATATATGAGATGAATAAACAAATAAGAACTCAAACAAGCAAATGCAATAGAACATAATGCTACTCATTTTTAATTTTTACTCACCACAACTCCTGCAGGAGAGAAATACAAAGTGAATTTGGAGGTTGTAATTTAATTGACACCATTTCCCTGGTCTTCTGATTGATGTGCTGGTGTATGAAGCTGTCCAGAGACAGGTGGTAAGGAAGGAGGAAGAGCCAAACTTCTAAGTAATTCACAGTCTACAACAATGGCCCCTGAAAAATGGTACTTGTGACTGAAGAAGTCCTAAAAGGACCATTCTTGTTTTAGGATTGAAAGTTGCATAAAATAAACTTAGAAAACTTGGGCCTGACATATGTGACAATTTAACATTTTTCCTTCCATCTTTTCCTCTAATATAACAAATAGCTTCAAAATGAATAAATGTACTGAATTGAATATTATATCATTTGTCTATCATCTAAATCTATATCTTTGTGGTATATGTAGGTGTGCCCATAATGCAACAATTGAAAAAGATGGATCAGAAAGTTTTTCATGATTATCACTTTATTTTAAAGTTTGCATCCAAGTAGTGATTGACAGAATAATAGTAGAAAAGTAAAAGTAGACATATAGAAAAAGTATTTTGCTGAATGTCTGATGAATATACCATAAAAATGTCAATCACTCAAATATTGAAGTATGACATGTTATTATTTCAGACCAGAATGCCTGTTTGAGACCCGGGATTAGAACTAAATGGAAAATTATGAACACTTATCTGAGGAAATGAATCCTTTTGGGAAAACAAAGAGGTGTTATGGTGGATTGGGCCATTTGTTTCATGAGAGTTATTTAAATAGGGTAGGGCATATTAACTAGAACACTGGTGTTCTCTTCAATGATATCTTTCTGGTTTTATGTTTTGTTTCAGGAGTGACCCATCTCATGACATCATTAACAATTTCTTTACTGTCAAATTAACATATTTGCAGTAGGTTTATTATTCATTTTTCAAAGGAAACTAGAAGAAGCAAAGACTTAGGAGGTAGAACTTTTACCATGTTCTTATATTCTTTCAGGTTATCTGCTTCAGCATCAGAAACTTATTTAGTGATGAATGAATGAACAAAAAAATGAGTGAACGCAGTAAACGGAAACAATCTCAAATAAACTCTCCAAGATAAAATATTAGTCTAATAAACCTTAACAACTTAGAAGCAGAATGCTCATGATCAATTGCATTACTGCTTAGATTCGTTCTGGCAATTTACTCTTTAATTCATGGGGGGAAAATACAAAAATTTGCTCAAATATTTTATGCTGGGCAAGAAAACAGTCATTTCACCACATGGTAACTCTTAGAATCCTCCAGTTAAGATTGCTTCCCGTATTCTAAGGGGTCTGATTGCAATAAGATATGCAGAGCAATTGTTCCCCCCCACACACAGTTTAATATAATAGTAGCACATTGCCTTGTCTGAAGAGTTTATCCATGCATCTAGACCACCTACAGGATCATTCTCAGTCAAAGGTGGTGTACAACATCCCAGCCCTGGTTCTGATGACTGCATTAGCTAGCACGGAAGGCAGTGTTGCAGACTCTACTTAGTTGCTATTATTCACTTGATTACAAGCCTTCCCAAGATAAACTGGACACATTGTCTCCCTCCGTTGTAAGTTCTCTGAAGCTCTTAGCAAATGTCTTTGGTGACATCAGCTTGGGAAAGATGTTTCTATACATTTTTCCCCTCAAGTGGCAATTTTTTTTTTTTTTTTGGTTTTTTCGAGACAGGGTTTCTCTGCGTAGCTTTGCGCCTTTCCTGGAGCTCACTTGGTAGCCCAGGCTGGCCTCGAACTCACAGAGATCCACCTGGCTCTGCCTCCCGAGTGCTGGGATTAAAGGCGTGCGCCACCACCGCCCGGCATCTCAAGTGGCAAATTTTAAACTGAGGAAGTTATTGTCAGCAGGGGTGTCACTGACATTTTTATTGGGAGTATTAGTTATTTTGCAGGTCAATCTAAAATATCCTTCCTCATTTTAAACTTTCCACCCCAAGTCCCCCAACAGAGTCAGTTTTCTGAGCCTGGTAGCTACTCAACTGAAGTTGTATTTGTAGGGAACTTAGACAATGAAATGGAACTTCTGATCTATGTACATTGTATATGTTTAACTGAACTGTTTTAAACAGTAGGTGATAGATAATGGTTGTGTTGCAAATTCTCTGTTCAATCTTCGGTACTACACAAATGCCTTAGGAGAGAAGGACTTTAAAAAAACTCAACAAAATTTTCAACATATTGAAAGTTATTGCTAATATAACTTTATTTCTTTCTTATACTATCAGTATACAGCAGGGAGTTGAAAGCTGAGTCTATGTATTGGTTTCACTGGAGAAATATTCATGGAATTGATACAAATAAATGCTTTAATAATATCCAAATCCAGAGAGTATGTGGGGAGACAGTCACATAACGTTTGAGAACACTTGAATGGTTTTCAGAAAATGTTGGGAAACATTCACTGTGGCCCCATGTTGTCTAATATCAAATAAAAAAGATATCTGTCTCAGAAATAATGGCTGTTTCTTTTACTTTATAAGCCCATTTTGGATTACATAATAATTTTTATTTATATACATGCTAGAGTAATTGCATGCTCTGGGCTTTCTTTTTTATCAGATTTTTCCACTTTATTTCTCTCTCAGCAAGGATGAGTCACTGTTCGTTTCTTGTCTTTTCCTCCTTTATCTGTGTCTGTGGGCTGAAACTGCCTGTGTTGACTTTCCCCACTCTCCTAAAGGAGGACACATCACCGTCAATAACTTTAATGAGAACATTTGATGCATAAATATTACAAATCTGGGATCACAGTCATGAAGTGGTAGGAGGAGAAATAAATATTGTAAGAGAAGCAATTGGGGCCCTAATGGAGCTGCAGGAGATGTATTCTAGTTAGGCGAGAACAGATGACAGGAGAGGTTTGGTCTTTCCTGATGAGAATGGAGGATTTTCAAGGACACAGTTTGTGTTCTGTAGCACAGAGAACCAGGAGAATGACATTACTGTTAGAGAATTTCTCGTAGTTTGACTGTTCATGTACTTCTTATAAAGATAAAGCAGGGCTGAAAGGAATTAAAAATTGAAAAGCTAAAAAACAATTAAAATTTAAAATAATTATTAAATAGAAATCAACATAAGTTTTTTACATTTATCTTGACAGGTTTCAAAACAATGTGTCAACATAAAAAGAAATGCAGCATCAAACTGTGTTGGAATGAATTCTGTCCATATTTCTTCTTACTGAAGTACAAAATACTGATGCTAAAGCGGGCAGACGATGCTTTTGGATGTGAGCCCTCTTCTTCTACTTTATGTGTAATGTTTTTGCACCTGTTTTGAGCTGTAATTTTACCAATAAGGGGTCCAAGGAAACACTCCTCACACTTGGCCTATGGCCAACCCAATAAACACAAATGTCATTAATCATTGTCACTTGTCAATTCTCCATTTAAGAAATTGTCTCTTTTCATTGTTGCTCCTAAAAACACAAGGGAATTTGGTAAATTTTGTTTTGGAGAATTGAGGCTGAATTTTTCAAAGGTTGAAAACGTTTTCTCTTTTTCTTTTCTTTCTTTTTTTAAAGGAGAATGTGTTATTTAAAGATAGACTACAGCTGCTACTAAATATATCTGAAGAAGCAAAGACATGAATGACCTTGAGGATAGCCATCCAATAAAGATATTGCTAGATGAATCTGCATGTAAAAGGCATGCTATTTCTGTAACTAATCTCCTATAGGCTGTGGTTGAAAGCTCAGCTATACTTTAGGAGAGCCATGCATTTGTCCTCTACTGTTTCTCAACATGCATACTCAATGTCATAGATGGAGCTAATCAAGAGAAGAACATTCACAATTCTTCACAGCCCTCACTGCCCATCAACATTAGGTCAAGGTAGCATCCCTTTCCAAAAGCCAAGCAGTTGAATTAGCCTATATGCAAATCTCTCAATTCCATTTAACAAACAAAGCATGGACCAAGCAGGGAACATTGTCTCCACATTACCATCCTAACTGCATGACTTCAGAAGAGTAAAATAGAAAATGTTCAAGTCTACCCTTCATTTCCTTGCATAAGATTAAAATAATGGCTGAAAGCTCTGGTCCAGTGGTAATGGAAGTGAAATACATATTGGAGATGGATACAGGCAGATTACATGCAGAGTGTGGGCACTAAAACCAAACCACCCCAAGTTTCTATCTTTACATGTTTATCGGGTAAAGGCTTTGTCACCTTGGGGATATTAAAGCACAGGGACAAATAGCCAAACAAATGGAAACACATGAACTATGAACCAAAGGCTGAGGGGTCCCCAACTGGATCAGGCCCTCTGAATAGATCTCTGAAGTATTCCAAGGCCACCTGGCCAAATATCCTAATTGTCGTGCTAGAAACCCCATCCAATGACTGAGGGAACCTGATGCAGAGATCCACGGTCAGGCCCCAGGTGGAACTCCAGGAGTCCAATTGGTGAGAAAGAGGAGGGTTTGTATGAGCGAGAATTGTTGAGACCAAGGTTGGAAAAAAGCACAGGGACAAATATACAAACGAAAGGAAACACATGAACTATGAACCAATAGCTGAGGAGCCCCCAACTGGATCAGGCCCTCTGGATAAATAAGACAGTTGATTAGATTGATCTGCTTGTGAGGCATCCAGACAGTGGGACCGGGTCCTGTCCTCAGTGCAAGAACTGGCAGTTTGGAACCTGGGGCTTATACAGGGACACTTGGCTCAGCCTGGGAGGAGGGAACTGGACCTGCCTGGACTGAATCTACCAGGTTGAACTCAATTCTCGGGGGAGTCTTTGCCCTAGAGGAGATGGGATTGGGGGGTAGGCTGGGGGGAAGGCAGGGGTGTGTGGGAGGGGGGAGAACAAGGGAATCGTGGCTGATATGTAAAATTAAATTTAATAAATAAATTTTAAAAATGAAAAAATATTTAAAAAAATAATTTTTATCTAGTAAATAGTATCTGCCTTACAACACACATGCACCCCCTGCACACACCCACACTCTCCCCACACCTCCTATAACACAATAGCCAGTCAAAAAGCAAGTGTTTGAAAATTATATACATAAATGTTATATATAGATGTACACATAGAGTGTGTATTCATATATAACAACCTCATGGAGCACAAAATTTGATGCTGTACTTTCATTCTTTCCTTTTTTGTAGAATTAGTCCTTATAACTGTACAAGAGTGAAAATAGGAAAAGAGGATTTGGGATTTTTTTGCAAGAATTAATCCAAATATGTGTAGAAAGGCTCAGTACAGTATCTTACTAAACAGAGAAACAGAAACAATATCAAACTAATTATATTTGGTTTTTCAGGAGAGGGCTTCTCTGTGTTTCCCTGGCTGCACTAGAACTCACTCTATAACCTAGGCTGGCCTTCAATTCACAGAGATCCCACTGCCTCTCCTTCCCAGATGCTGGGATTAAAGGCATGTGCCACTAACCCCTGGCCTCCAGATCATTATTATATTTTTAATTTGAAAGAGTATAAGATATTTTATCATGTCTAGAAGTTGGTAGAAACTTTGGAGTTCAAAGGATAACATGATTATAAAACTTGACTGTCAAGCATGCTGTCTTAGTGACCTCTAATTGGATCTCAGTGTTTGAGTAACATAGATAAGTAGTCCATCAAATTTGGTATCCCTACTTGTTTCCTGAAACACAGAGTCCTTAGGGAAAGCATGCCAATGTAGGTGCCAAGGTCAAATTTCTTCATTTGTATGTTTTTCAGGAGAATCAAGTTGTTTTCTAATCCTGATCATTAAGCTACCCCTAATAGTTCTGGGCCTGTTTTGATTGTGTTGTGGTGGATTTTTGCCTTGCAAAAACAGATATTTAACAGCTAAGCTATATTGCTACTGGAGTTGGGGGAAGAAAAACAACGGAGCTTTTTTTTAATCTCTTTTATCTTTTTTATATTACACAAATTTTAACCACTTATATACACATGACAGTTTATGCTCAAAAAAGTATAATCTATTATTTTGCCACAGCATTTTATTAAGGTAACATATTTACTTTAAAGTCATTTCAAACTCTTTCCTATATTTCTCTTTTAATGCCAGAATATTGATGTCTATTAACTAGTAGTGGAAATCACCTATATACATATGTTAGTGATATTCCCAAAGGCAAAACCCTGATATTTTCATTTTTTCAGATATAAGGTTGACAATCAGTTATTGGGAAAAGCCAGCTATTAGCTACCTGCTGAGTTTATTTGCATATGGCCTTCTGTGTTTGATGCAGGCATCTAAAAATTAATTTGTTACTAGATTACTTTTTGGTACATAATATTGTATTGAATAATATGAGATTTTGAGAAAAAAAAAGAGGGCAATTCAAAAGCATTATTTTAGGCCATTCAGTCTCTAATCTTTTCTAGGGCTCTTTTGCATGTAAAGTGCCTTTCATTAAGTTATGGAAATTGGAGCCCATCTCCTGGTTTCTGAAAACCATGATGATCTTCGGTCTGTATACTTGAGGTGTTTATGCCTTTTTTCTATTACAATGCCTTTTCTTCCCATTACTTCAAATGTTCTGCTCTCTGGCTGAGATGCTGTTTTTCAGTTCTTGCTTTTATTTTCTTATTCTTCATCTTTTTAGGTACTTATGCATTATGAAGGCTCCTTCCATTTGTGTTGCCTCAGTTAAAAGGATATGCCCTGCACCCCTCTCTGATATTGGATCTTTCACTACAGATAACATACAGCATATTAATATGTATGCATTTAGACTGCTATATAAATGTCTGTACACATAAACTTTTCAAATGCACATTATATAATTTTATATCATAAAATATTTTAAGAAAATGATGAATATTCATAAATACACTGAAAAATAATATAATTTTTTCCATATCCCAATTTCTGTATTTGGATGGACTATGAAGAACTTCTCTTTCGTTTCACATCCAAGATTATGAACTAAATAGGGCCTTTTATGAGGTGTGAGAATTGTGCATCTGGTAGGACCAGGAGGGATGTGATTGTATCAGGGACCCTTGATGTTGGCATTTTTGGTATTACCTTGAAGTCGTCGTTCCCTCCTTTACTTCTTATTTGCCAAAGCAGAATTTTCAGCGATTACTTTTCTTTTTATTTTTTTAAGATACAGGTCATTCTTTTGTCCTGTATTAAATTAAGTATTTGAAATTCCTCTTTATTTGAGCTATTCTTTGTTCTGTCTTCATTGACTCTGCTGTGTTTGAAGAAAAATATATTCAAAATATGTGACATTGAGAAGCTTACTAAATAAAGGCCTAGCCTATTGTGACATTTATCCTTCTGACACAATGGTGTAAAAAAAACATTTGCTCAACCGATTATCTTATGAATTTGGTCAAGGATTTTTGGAGTTTTTATTGTTTTGATTTTTTTTAAAGCATCTCTCTCTTCAAAGCTAAGGTGGAGAGGAACAGAATTCCATCTCATATGGTTGTTGAACATGACATATGTTAACAAATAAAGGTCAATAGCAGATAGTAGAGGAAATATCTCAATATATGTTCATGTTAAGGAGGGAAAGGAAGGTGGATTGGGTGAAGACTAGAGAAGAGCAGGAGGAGGGATGAGAGAGAGATCTGTGGTTGGTATGTAAAATGAATTAAAAAATCCTTAAATAAAAAATTTCATTACTTAATAAGCTCAAGATTTCTTTCCCTTACACATTTATCATTTCTATTCTTTGTCTTACTCAAATGAACATATTTCCATAGAGAAAATGCATCTAGAAAACTTTAGTGACTAGGTCTAGTTTGATGGCTCTGTGGATAAAGGTATTTGCTGCCAACCATGAATTCCTGAGTTCAAGCCCTGGAACCCACGTGGTGGAAAGAAAAAATGAACTTCACAAGTTGCCTTAGGACCTCCAACCACATGCATGTAGGCACATGCATGCCACAGACATATTGTTCAAATGTTAAAAGGTCTTATTAATAAAAAAAAAAAACCAGAACCAGATATTGGGGTCAATACTGAAAGATCAGAGCGACACAGGAACAATCAGCTGCCACCTCTCACCTCTAGGAATGCTCAGCCTGAAAAGGCTCTCCAGCCAAAGAGCCTCAGCTAAAAGAAGAGCATCCTCAGCTGAAAGACTTCAGCCAAAATAGCCTCTAGATGAAAGGGATGCTTCTTCCATAAAGCCTTTAGTTCCTGTCTCCTCACACCTTATATACCTTTCTCCCCCAAGCCATCACTTACTGGGATTAAAGGTGAGTGTGCTTCCCAGTACTGGGGGTAAAGGGGTGTGCCACCATGCCTGGTTCTGTTTTCTCTCTTAGACAGAGTCAATATCATCT